GTCGGAGGCGGGTCCCTTGTCAGCCCCCGGACACGAGAAGGTGACGTATTCATGGCAGCGCTTGTGGACCACAAAACAGCACACTGCAAAAGACGAAAGAAGAAACGAGAGTAAGATCCAACGTCAAGATGAAACAACATGTCACGCCATTCTGTCTGTCTGCCTATATTTAGATTTTGTCTGTGTGTTTGTGTGTGTGTTTTGTGGCTGGATGTCATTAAGAAGTCGTTGATATGATACATAACTCGATACATAGGCCATGATACATTACATATCTAGATACAGCGCACTTTCGGTTCGATACAATATGTTTCAAATCGATTCAATATGGTTGAATAAAACATAAAGGCTAAAACATCATGACTGTGATATTTAAAAGTCTTTGTTAAACCCCGTCTTGTGCAAAGTTCATATGAAACACATCAAATCATCAATAATCATCAAAACAGTGAGAATGTCAAATGTGTTTCCTTCCACTAAACAAGCAAAAAAACTGTAGCACTGTAACAAAATAATAAAAATAAAAACAAGCACAATCAGAGACATCAACCTGGTCCCCATGAGGCATCAGTGGGGTCATTTCATCAGCACAGAAGCAGTTTATGAGGAGCCCAGCCCACATTACATGATCATTATATAAACAATACAATGTGTGTATGTGTACAGGCCCATGAACATTTGTGTGATATTGGTCATACATGACACACACTGTGTTTACTAGTGTGGAACCAACATGTCATTTTTCATGAGTTGTGTATATGTTAGTTGTGTGACTGTAGATCAGTGTGTTGTGTATCACCATAAAAACAAGAAATGAAAATTATTTTCGTTCCAATTAAAATTTTAACGGCTACACTGAAAGAGAAAGGAACTGTTCTAATTAATGATTATCTCGAAAACTATTAATATTTTACAATATAAATGCATAGAATTATAAATAGATAATAATAATCTCTAGCTCGACCCTTGGCGAAGTTATGACCAAAAACACATATTTGACCTTGGTTACCTTGACCTTCAAGTGACCTTGACCAGTTTCAACCTGTAGCTTCCAGTATAGCCCAGTTGTGTGTGCCAACTTGTGTGATGATTGGGTGAATATTTTAGGCTACAGAAGGTTCAGAAATTGCCGAAATTGCCTATCCTTTATAATGGCATGACCTTTCAATTGACCCGTGTCAAATGAACTCGGATCCTCACCAAACTTTTTTTTTCGGGCACGGGGGCTTGACCCACGTAACAAATTTGGTAACAATTGGTCCATAAATGCTGGAATTATCACGGGTGGACAGACACACACACACACACACAGGGTGAATACAAAACCTGGTCAACCCTTCTGGGACCAGGTAATAAAAGCTAAAAAATCATGGCTGTAATATTAAAAGTCTTTGTAAAACCACTTCTTGTGCAAAGTTCAAATGAAACACAAACATTTTAATCATCAGAACAGTGAAATGTAAAATGTGTTTCCTTCCACTAAACAAAGAACAAAAGCTGTAACAAAATAATTGAGTAAAATATACCAAAAAATACTCTTGGCGATATATCGATACAGCAGCAGACGATATCGATACTGTATCATCACATTAAACAATACGATATATTAATATTTTGATATTTTTGCACAGCCGTAGTGTGTTTTGTGCGCTGTACCAGATTTAAAAAAAAAAAAAAAAAACTTGAAAAACAAAGTTGGTTCATCTTAAATGGTCTGTGGTCCGACATTATCCCTCACTTACCTTACGTATTTCGAGCATCCTAATTATTCACAAAAATAAGTTTATAAGTGCTCCTCACAACTTTCAGAAGTCAGAGGAGAGTTTGCGCTGCAGTCAAGGTCATGTTAACAACCACTAGCAAGCTAACAGTACACTTCCTGATACTCAGACAGAAAAAACGCTAAATATAACTAGATGGAGACAGGTCAAGAGCTGCTTATACAAAATATCTGCACTGCAAATTTCTCTCATCTGGCCAAGATTTTAAAACGTACATCAGGTTATTCATCTTGTTTTCAAATTTATGATCTGTTTACTAGTCCTGAGATGCTTCATTCTAGTCTGGAGGTAGTTTATCTTCACATAACTTGTTGAGTAAAATGATCTTGCTGCATGGACAGATCATTTCACTACTTTTAAGTCATTTTTTTTTTATGTATTTAAGTGCTTATATCTTAAAAAAAAAAGGCTCCCTCAAAAGACAATACAATACAGTTTCCTTTAAAGGTGCACTATGTAACTTTCCTGGTGGACAGTCTGCCACTTGCTTTTAATGTTTGCATCCACAGTATGATATCATAATTATTAATGCATTAATTCATCACTGCATTTCTATAGTGCCTTTCATGACTCCCAAAGCGCTTAGATAAAACTTACTTATCTTGCTATTTTATTTAGTTCCAGGTGGAAAACATTCTCAAGCCGGACACACACTACAGGATTTTTCCATCTTAAACATACTTGAACATACATCATACAGTGCAGACCAAAGAATCATATGAGATTTCAAATCTCTGAGCGTCAAGCTGCAGCGGGATAAGGCAGCCAAGAAACCACACACCACAAGTTATAAGTCACCTCTGTTTCCTGTCTGAAATAAAGTCAAGAAATACATTACTATTGGATATTATGTCATTTTAAATGTACTACACTGCTCAAAAAAAAAAAAAAAAAAACATTCTGAAAACACATCAGACCTCAATGTGAAAAAATATATATATCTATACAAATGTGGACAAGGCAATGTCTTAAGAACAAAAGGATGCCACATCTTTTAAAGGAAATGAACAGGTGCACAAAAGCAGCACCAATGAGACAAGCCCTAACACAGGACTGGTTTTACATGTAGAGGTCATTTCATGTTTCTCCCTCTTGGTGTTTTTTGGCTGGTTTTCCACTAGTGCTGCTTTGGCTACAGTGATTGTACTGGAATAGTATGAGGCCGTTCTTTATATAGAAAATGTTTTTCTTAAAACTTAAAAAATCAAGTATATAAAAATAAAGCCATTGTTTAACCCTACAAAAGTTACACAGATTGTCTGACTTCTCCATGATGGCATATCTGGCCATAGAAGGTCCTCAACCCATCAGCAGGACAAATATGTGTGTGAGGAGGAAGAGGATGAGCACTGCCTGTGCCCTACAGAATGACCTCCAGCAGAACAGTGGTGTGAATGTCTCTGCCCAAACAATCACAAACACACTTCATGAGGGAGGCTTGAGGGTGAGCAATAGATTACTGTTACTATTACTACTAAAATGTCTTAATTTTAGAAAGAGTTAATTTAATCTATAGCTGAGATATATTTTATATATATATTTTATATACATGTATATATGTCTTATGTTATTATTTAGATTTGATTATACCATTTCTCTGTTATTATAATATGCTGTGAGCTGCTGTGTCCAAATAATTTTCCTTATGGATCAATAAAGTTAGTCTAAGGTAAGTTTAATCTTTCTTAATTATTAGAGTTACACCTGCCTCTTTTAATCACCGTAAACATCCCAACAACAAAGTTCTGTGATGCCAAAGCATGCTGACGCCCCTGCCTATAGCTGCACTTCATACAGTTTTTTTGATGTTTTTTGTTGTTTTTTTCCCCCAAAATGGCTTTATCACAATTTGATAACAATTTGAACGCATAGAGCAGTGGGTGTGTAAGGCTGGTTGGGGCAAATGAGACTTTACAGAGCACTGGCACCTCAAATGCAGGAGAATAAAGATTACTGAAACACGCCTGAATCACCCAATACAACTTTGAGTGAGAGAGATGAGGAGAAATCCATTTTCCAACATGCTTTTGCCCGGCTGACAGAATTTCATTTTCATTTGCTTTTCCAACATGGTTAAAAGCTCTTAAAAGTCAACTTAGTCTAGCCCACCATAATATAATTTTCCAGTCTAAAAACAAGTTGATTACATGTGTCAGCCAATTTTTCCCTTTTGTATCTTTAAACATAAAAAATAGGCAGGGAAACATTTACTTCAAAATGCGATGAAATGAAACAGATGAAATAGGGGGTTGCCTGTGTTGCCAAAGTGTCACTGAAATCTGTGGGAACGGCAGAACTGTTCCATAAAATGAGATAAGATTTACAACCTGCCCGTAAAATCTGCAGTAGTTTTGACAAGTGGAATGGTGAAAAATTTACCACAAATGCAAAGATGAGCAGCTACTAGAGCCGTTTAGTCATTTATCAAATCAAGATAAGAAACCACCTATTAGTCTAAATGGTTATTCCGGTTGTTCAGGTTAGACGCATTTAGCAGTAGAAAAGAGAATGTATAGAGAGATTTAGATGAATATTTGGGAGTGAATCCTGAGTTTAAAGTAACATTTTACATATAAATATATTTTTTCCAAGTACTTTTCTGCATACATAGTCGTTTTGCTTCTACTCCAGTGCAGGTGTAGTTTTAGGAGGACAGTTTGGGTCAGATACATAAAGATACAGAATAGTTTTGATTAGTAATTTTTAGTCGACGAATTGATCAGCAGCACAACAAGAATTTTAATTGACTACAGCCCTAGTTGGTGCATTGCACAACTTAACAAGAATAAAGATCATTTTGATTGGTTATCACTTGATAATACAGTGGTTTGAGAAGCATGGATGCATTTTGGTCCTTCCACATAAACATGGCTACACACAGTTAAACAGATCACCTGATTTTTTTCTATAAGGTTTCTCAGGTCAAATTTGGGTTGGGCAACACAGCAAAAAAATTGCCCCAGTGGTGTTAAACTTTGTGTAGGTTTAACCAATTTGATTTTCCTTTTCAAAAACAAAATAAATGTAACTTTCAGTATTGACTCCATGAGCAAAAACAATATACACTTTGCCACTGAACACAAAAATAACCTAATTTCTTCCCCCAAAGTTGAATTCTGCTGCACTGATAAAGTACTGGCTGTAACCTTCATAGCTAAACAAACAACACAACCATATCACTGTGGATTAGACATGACAGAATCTCCATCTTGATTAAAATTCGGTTAATTACACTGCAGGTCAAGGTCAAGTTAAATGTGTGTGCACTGACAGTCTGAACAGACAGTGTATAATGTATAAAG